ACCTCCGATGAGGTCTTTGACAACAAGTCCACCAAGCGTCTTCTCCGCAAGATGGACACCCACCTCCTCCCCTTCCTAGCCCTCCTCTACCTTCTTTCCTTCCTCGATCGTGCCAACATTGGCAACGCCAAGCTGGCCGGTCTCGAAGAGTCCCTGAACTTGACCGGCAAGTGGGACTACAATGTGAGTACAGCATCAACTTTCCCATCCTCTCGGGTCCTTTACCCATGCTACAACGGAGAATTAACCATGCTTCCCCGCAGATCGCCGTGTCCGTCTTCTTCCCCTTCTATGTCGCAGCTGAGATCCCATCCAACTTGGCCATGAAGCGATTCCGCCCCTCCATCTGGATCCCCTTCATCATGATCATCTGGTCTGCCATGACCTGTGTCATGGGTGCTGTCCACAATTTTGGCGGTCTCCTGGCTACCCGCATGGCCCTCGGTCTCGCTGAGGGTGGTCTCTTCCCCGGTATCACCTACTACATCACCATGTGGTACAAGCGCCACGAGTGCGGTCTCCGCATGGCCATCTTCTTCTCGGCTGCCACTGCTGCTGGTGCCTTTGGAGGTCTCCTGGCCCGTGGCATCATGGAGATGGACGGTGTTGGTGGTCTCGACGGCTGGGCCTGGATCTTCATCATTGAGGGTATCGTCACTTTCTTCTTCGCTGTCATGGCCTTCTTCGTCATGTACGACTACCCCGATACTGCCAAGTTCCTCGACGACACTGAGCGCAAGGAGGTCATCCGCCGCCTCGAAGAGGACCGATCCGTTCTCTCTGATGAGTTCAAGTGGCAGTTCTTCCGTGATGCTCTCAAGGACTGGAAGATCTGGGTCCACATGGTCATCACCATTGGCATCTACACCCCTCTCTACTCCATCTCCATCTTCCTGCCCACCATTGTCAAGGGTCTCGGATACACCAACGAGATGGCTCAGCTCATGACTGTCCCTCCCTATGTCGTCGCCTGCCTGTTCACCATCGCCGGTGGTTACGCCGCTGATAAGCACGGTCAGCGTGGTATCTACATGATCTTCTTCTGCTGTGTCGCGTAAGTCCTCCCTTCTCCAATTCTCTCCAAATCGCCAAGGGCCCAGACCCGGAAGCCGACTCCGGCTTGGCGCGACCATCTTAAGCCTCAATTCGCTAACATTCCTGTCTACAGCATCGTCGGCTTTGTCATTCTTGCTGCTGTCGAGTCCAACGGTGCCAAGTACTTCGGTGCTTTCATGATCACCTGTGGTATCTACCCCAACGTTCCTCAGGGTGTCGCCTGGAACGGCAACAACATCGGTGGTTCCCTCAAGCGAGGTGTCGGTATTGCCATGCACGTCGGCTTCGTAAGTTGATCCTCATCTACACTACACAAGCCACAGTCTCACTAACACGAATCAACAGGGTAACCTCGGTGGTGCCGTCTCTGGCTTCGTCTACCGCAAGGACGATGCTCCTCACTACAAGTCCGGCCACGCTACCCTCATTGGCACTACCACCATGAGCTGCATCCTCTCCATCTTCATGACCATCTACCTCCGCCGCGAGAACGCCCGCCGCGACAACACTCACAAGGCTCCTCATGAGTACACCCGCGCCGAGAAGGAGTTGGAGCAGGACTCTGGCGACAACGCCACCTTCTTCCGATACACCGTCTAAGCGACAAGCTGGCGACGCGACATCTTGCAGAACATCTTACAGGATATCGCTCTGGAATTGTACATATGACTCACTGCCTTGGTTAATGCGGAAAAGCATCAAGAGGCGGCTGGGATTGGGCCATAGAGGATTGGTTCCTGAGATGACGAGACGGACGGAAATGCATGCGAATTGGGATACAGGCTTTACAAATTTTGAGGCTTTTGATAATTGAAATTGAACCTCGGTCATGATTTAGAGGCATTCAAAACTTTCTTCTCTGCTCTTGTGATTCTTCTTCTCTCTGGTGATTGTCTAGTGATCTTGACTCTGATCTGCCAAACTCTCTCTCAAACTAACAACACAGACGTTGCACCGGGCCGCAGCCCTGGCTTGTCGCACAAGCTTCCAATACATTGCTACTACAGCGGTTCAACTCCCGAAAAACCGACGGGCTAACGCATAAGAGGCGCAGCTGAGACGCAGATTGCTTATCATGGGTAAGCCCCGACGGCATACCACATAAACAGAGGCACGCTCCGGGGAGGAACCTTTGGTCACTCCTTACAAGGGTTCTCGATATCGTCTCTCTCTGCCGTGCTAGCCGCATTTTAGAGAATTTCACCGAGACGGGAATGCTTGACTTTGCTGTGCCTCCGGAGCGCGGGTTTGGGGTACGTAGCGCTTAATGATCGACAACACTAGCTTAGGCTTGGCTTGAGCTTATCTTGTGCTTGTGAGTTTCTTGTTTTTCTTCTCTCCGTGTGACCAAAAGGGTGCTAGGCTCGGATATCTTCTCAAAACACTCACTCCGTCATTTTGCTAGAGGGAGAGAAGATACAGCCTAAATTGCCTGGCATAACTAGATTCGAGCGCCCGCCAATCTCATATGTGTTTCGCCACAGAGTCGCATCGTACCCAGCTTCTGCGTTTCACCATGTTGTTAGAATATCGGATATTCGTGCCGATTTCACTCGACCCGAGGGCGTTATATGGTGCTTCAAACACCATCCTTGACCAGGCAGGGGCAAGAGTCAATTCTCACAATGTTCCAGAAAACTCTGAGAGTTTGGTTCCAGAGACTAGTGCCTCAACACCAAAGTCTACCATCTTGGCAGATGCAATCCATTATACCAGCACGAATGGGCAAACAATTCGTCAGTCTTGGCAGAGATCACAGGAACCTCTGGACAATAACTTCCAGCCCATCTCTCCCCCTCTTCAATCTTGCGAGCCTACTTCCAAAAACAGAAAATCAGCCCGTGAGCGGTAGGCACCGACACTTGCATGGCCTGATGGCGTGGGAACGCACACCAAGAAAACGTGGCCGAGATGTGCCTCTCCCCCCCTTTGCATTAGCCGACCCTGGATGCCGATTGCAAGGGGTGTTGACCAGACCGGCCCAGCTGATTACGCCGGCGAAGCTAAACCGTGTGGGTAAGGTGGTTTGCGGGCACACTTTGCCAAGCATGTAAGAGTTGGAGTCGTGGCCCATCAGTGGGCTATACATCCAGCAACTATCACATCTCTCACATATCTCTCGCATAAATTTCCTGTAAATGATGCTATTTCACCACGTGTCAAGTAATAAGAACCACAATTAAAAATGTTAAGGAAAAATCCTTCTGTCGCTCATTACGTACAAGGTATCATCTCCAACTTGGACCCGGCCCTGTCTACTCCAACTCCCCGCAATGTTTAAAACCCTCCAGGTTCTCCAACTTGGACGGAAATTACCCAACTAGCGTAGACCGAGTGTATTGCCCCCCTGTCCGACGTGGGGGAAAGGTTGATCATGAAGTAATTGTGAAAATCAGGCAGGAAACCTCTTTGCGTCTTGGACACATGTCGTCGGCCCAGTCTCGGGCCGTGCCCGGTTCTTCGGCGCGGCCCCGCTGTTTTCTACCGGAGCTTGCACCGAACTCTACCCGGCTCAGAACCTCGGCGCCCAGTCTGTCGCGGCCGGCTCGACTAGGTCCACCGAGAGCTGCCACTCCGGCGGACACGGGACTAGGAGCGAAGCTTCGCTGTTCTCCGAGTCAAAGCTGCTCATGCCCTGCATGCTCTGGCATAGAGGTAGAGAGATCAAGCTCCGCATTGTCCATCGTGGAGGTGCTCCCGTGCATCTCGGTCGTGACACTGGCCGTCGGAGTTCTGATGTTCTTTTCCTTTTGCTCAGTCTTTTTCTGAGTCCTGTCCTCTTCTCTCCCGCCCACGCCAGCAGCGCCCGTATTGCCTCGCCCAACATATCTTCACTCTCCTGTATAAGCGCCGTTCTTGCATCCACCACCGGTCCAATCGCCTCCTCCATCAGTTCCAGAAAGCCTTCGCCCGTTCGTGAGGAGCATGTGACGAAGCGACCTCCCAGACGCTTAGCTAACCTCTCCCCATCATGAACATGCTCCTGATTCGGTAAATCCGCCTTTGCGCCAACAACAAGACACGGCAGACTAGACCCAGGCGCCACCCCAACGCCCTCGAGCTCGCAGCGGGCGCAAAACTCGCACAGCTCCCGGAAGCTGCTGGGGTCTGTGAGGTCGTAGACTAGGATGAGGGCGTCGCAGTCGCGCATCCCACGGGTGAGCCAGTGGAAGAGCTCCTGCTTTGAGAGCGCGAAGCCGTCGCTGTGGGATGTGAGGGAGATGGGCGTTTCGAACCAGACGTTGCAGGCGAGGCCGCGGAGGTGGGTTTGTTTGCAGGCGCTGTCGCGTTCTGTAAAGGGGTCGTCGTTGGGGATGAACTCATCGAGACATATCTGGGAAACCATTAGAGTCGACTTTATGCTGGAAAATTGTTACTCACCCTATCCAGAAGACTGTGTCGTCCACTTCCCTCTGTGCCGAGTATTTGAACCTGAATACTCCAAGGCCATGGCTTCACATTGCCGTCCTGAAGGTAACGGCTACTTCTGAGTCTGAGCCTACTTGCCTGCCAGTCTTGAACGTCCATCTTGGCATATCTGACAAACCAAATAGATGGGCGACATGCTTCTTCTTAATTGATGGAGACGCCCTTGTCGAGTATCATCATCCGAGACATATCGAGCCAAAGGGTTGTGATGGATCCCTTGATGTTCCAAACGAATCGGCACATCTCCCTTGGAACACCAACCCTCGCGATATCTACCAAGGGGGAATCACCATTAAATCCCCCCCTCACCTATTCGGCCGAATAAAACAGAGACAATTGAGTGCAGGGTCAACCTGGAATTAGCATTGAGCAGTCCACTATTTAACAGTAATATGTACATGGGCTCAAACGGCCTGAATAAGTGTCTAGAATAATGTCATATGTCGATGAACGTCCCTTGATCAATCCTTGATCGGGCGGGAACTGCCCTTTTCTTAATTCCCTCGTCTCATCATCTAAGCGACGACTCCAGTACCGGCCTTGGCCTTGACAAGCTCGCAAATGCAGCTGGCAGGGTCGGTGCTATCATTACAAGTTAGCGCCATGTCTCGAATTCACGGGCATACTCTTGACTCACGTGTAGCTGTAGGGAGGAGTAAACTCCTTCTCCTGGGTGATCTGGGTGTCGCTGTTGGTGAAGATGTTGTTCTTCTGGGAGGCGAAACCCTCCTCCTTGCTGTCGAGGTTGGTGACGATGGCGCGCTGGACGTTGTTGAACGAGTTCTGCTCGACGAGCACCTGAGCGCCCATGCGGGAGTTGACACCGGAAGTGGGAACGTCCTCGTAGCAGCTGCTGTAGATGTGGGCGGTACCGAAGCGCACAGAGGGAGCACGCGAGTTGATGTTGGACCAGTAGTTGTGGTGGTAGGTGACGTGGAGCTTGCCAGTGTCATCAGCGCCGGCGTTATCGCTGTGGCCGATCAGGCTGGCCTTCCAGTGGTCGGAGAACTTGGTCCAGCTGATGGTGATAAAGTCGGAGCCGCGCTTGGCGTCGCAGAGACCGTCGAAGTGGTCCTTGTCGCCGGTGAGGCCCTCGGCCGAGAGGTCACAGTGGTCGACCCAGACGTATGTGGAGCTCTCAATATCGATGAGATCCTTGCCCTCGGGAGGGTTGCTCATCTTGAGGTTACGGAGGATGACGTTGGAAACGTCCTTCATGCGGAAACCACCACCGACGAGACCTATTGAGATGTGTTAGCGATGTATGACATGTTGGACGCAAGGTCTGCTTACCAGAGCCGGAGCCAACACCGAGGATGGTGGTGTCGCCCTCAAGGCGGATGATGTCACAGCCAGAAAGCTGGCCATCGATCTTGATGACACCGCCGTTGGCAACAGCAGAGGTGAGGTCTGCGCAAGAAGTGACAGTGACACCCTCTCCGCTGCCACCACCAGTGGTTCCATCACCATAGCCAACGAGCTCATCGACAGCAGCAGCACTGCAGCTACCACCCTCAGTAGCCTCACCACCAGCGGGCGAAGAAGGCTGCGAAGCAGCAGCAGAAGTAGCAGGAGAGTTTCCAGCAGCAGAAGAAGCGGGAACCTCAACAGGCTCCTCCTCAACAGGAGCGCTAGAAGCAACAGCCGAGGGGGCAACAACAGTAGCAAGTGTAGTAGCAGCAGGGGCCTGAGTCTGAACAGGCTCCTCAGCAGCCTCGGAGGCGGGAGCAGGAGCAGAATCGCCGCCGGCGGCAAACTGGCACTCGCACTCCTTGGCCAGGTTCTTCTTGCTGCAGGCAGAAGCCCACGAGGGGAGCTCAGCAGTCTCGCTCACGGAAGAGCAGAAAGACGAGCCGTTGGCGGCAACGGCCTTGGCGCACTCGTTGGTCTTGGGGTTGGCGCAGGCCAGGACGGCCGGAAGGAGAGAAAGAAGGGCGTAGGACTTCATTGTTGTATAACTGGAGACGGCACGGCCGTTATGAGCAAAAGAAAGAATGTATGAAAAAGAGTAACGAAGGGAATGAATTACTGAACGAAAGTGAATTGTTGAAACTTCAAAAGATGCCACTCCCACCGAGGAACCGACGTTGTTTTAAACACCATCCCACGACCTTCCGCGTCGTCATCCGATAACCTTACAATTTAATTAACCAGGGCCACCAAGACGTGTCAACCTCGAAAGCTCCGTTTGGCGGACGACAGAATCTCCGCCTGGGCATTCGGCTCCGAGTCTCTGTAGAGGCCCGTCGTCAAGGCTGAGGATCCATTTGCACGTTTCAAACCCATGTCCGTGGAAACATGCCACGAGACTTCAGACAGCTTGGCGCTTGGACGGGCGGTAAGCGAGTTTGCCAGTGTTTCATGACCAAACAGGCGATTTTTAAGGTGGAAACTTTGTTGTTAATAAGCTTAATAGATAGGAGTTTGGTGAAGCCAATAAGTCAGGCTGAAGGAGTCACCGTCGTTGAAGGCGCGCGGTCGTGTCCGGCTTCGTGGTGTTCAACACATTAGTTGTAACAGTCTTGTCAAAACGTTTAGAATCGTAGTCTAATGAGTTTAGCAGGTTTAGACTATTAAAACAAAACTTTGGTTTCTTAGACTATAGCGTTGTCGATCTCGGTCCATCGGGGTGTCGGGGTGTCGGGGTGTCGGAATTCTCACTCTGGTCCGGCCGGCCAGGGGGGCAATTTAACTGTTTGGCTCACCCTGTAGCGGCTTTCCACTTTCGGTACAAGCACCAGATGGCATTTCCCCCTTAAATCCGTCCTCAATTGTTGGAAAGGTTGAGTTATATCGGGCGAGGTTAGAGTGGGACTCGCGTAGGGTTGTGAGTGTCTGGTGTAGCATGGAAGTCGCCCACCCCTTACCCTTGATCTAGTGTTGCAATTCGAGGGTAAGTTCTAGCAACTCACTTCAATTGATTCGACAGCTTAATATCCTTCTAAAAGATAATCGCTCTGCCTAAATCGCAGTGCGATTGAATGTCCTGTGTGATTGAGGCTTGACGTCCAAGAGTCTACCCCAAAGATGTAAAGCGACGGCAAACTGTGAAACACAATAGTGTGTAGAAGCAGAAGAGTTAATTGGAATCAATGAGCGTATTGCAATATCCGAGTATTTCGAAAAGTGTCTGGTCCTTCAACGAAGCCCGGTTGCGTTCTGCAACGTCCAACCTACTGGCTCATCTGCAGTCGCCCACCTCTGCTTCGTCAACCAGGGACTTTGGTGGCCTAAACATGAGAAGAAAAAAACACGAATTTCCAGCTGAATTGGTTGTTCAGCTCTTTGATCTATCCTATCATATCGCAGAGCCCAGCTGCATGGCGTCGGAGCCTGCTTGCGGCTTTTGGCCATACATGGCAACTTAACCGCCAGCCTGATCGCGTATGGGTGAGACAAACCTCATGAATTTATCCTGTTTCTCCCACCCTTCTTTTTCTATCCTTCTCTTCTTCTATAATTCATTCTGCAAGTATCCTGTCGCTTGATTGTTGGTCTTTGTATGATTCGTAATGTCAGATACCTGTACTTACAACTGCTCCGCACATCCTACAGAGATCAGTGCATATGGCGACATTTCAGGCATAGGGGTACGACAAAATCTCTCATTTCAACCCCGAGGCATCCAACTAACAATCATCTCCTAGGTCACAACAGCTTTCTTCGCTACCGCGTGGATAGTTGTCCTGTTGCTCATCGGCTACTACTTCGTAGCCTACGACCCCGAACTCGACCCCTTTCGGAAAACGGGCAATAAAACGCTTTGCCAGTATCCAAATAACGTCGATTATGTCTTTCTTCATGTCGTTCGAAAGTTGCCCGGCCTCCGGAGCCTACAGAGGACAGACTGGCATCTGTACAGCCAATTAGAGTCCGCACTGAACAAGGTAGCAACCCCAGGTTTCCTAGTAGACATCCATGCTCACCGGTTCTAGTGTGTCATCATGTTTGCAGATATCCAGATCTTCACTGGCTTGGCAGTTATGATAAGCGGATATATCGCTCTAAGCTGCCGACTCCAGAGTTGTCACTGGCAGTTGGCCGTCTACCTTGTGTGGCTGGCTTCCTTGACGCACCTGGCTGCTCTATCTTTCCTTCGAAACCACTTCTCAAATCACCCTAACCAACTTATATGGCGTATCATTGCTATGTTCATCATGATGATGCTTTTGGAAGTGGCCGTTGGCCTGACCGGTTACTTCAGCTGGGACAAAGGCCCCAACAAAGTTTCAGACTTTGCCGTTTGCTATTTTGGCGAGAAGATGGACACCAACTCAGTGGCATTCGAATCCATGCTCAAGACACTTATCCTTCTCATATATTCGTTCTTCATACGCCTCGCAAAAATGTCAAAGCCTTTCGAGGGGGGCCTTCGAAGGGTTGCAGCTCGACTAACCGCCTCGGTGGGCGCCGAGCCCAGGGACGACCGATCTCCATTTCTTGAATCGATGCAGTACTTCGGCATTGCACTCTATAGTTTGCCGAGCATTCACATCAACCTAATCACGTCTTTCCTTGCAGAAGTAGGCCCTCCTCAACTCTGACAACTCCCCCGGTCCTAACCCTGTCATTTCGCAGGTCTACTGGTTGACCCTTTCTGCCATATGGGCTACAAGGCGATTTTCCAGAACAAGGCTACTCGGACCCAAACAGGAAGACGAGTGGACCTTTGGTCAGGTTCTGCCGGTGCTGCTGGCGGTGGCTCCCCTCGCAGCAATTCTCGAACATTTCTTACTTCGTCAATCATCGAACAACACCTCACGTCAGAGTTCCGATCAAATAGCCCTAACTCAGGCTCAGTCCGAGACGGTCGAAGCCGAAACCCAAGCCCGAGCTGAGGCCCGCGACGAAGGCCAGGAGGGTGCACATGCCGAAATCGACCATCAATATCTCCGCTCGATTGAGTATCGCGGAGTCCTCCTTCTGGCTATGGTGCCCTATATTGAAGTCGGAATCTTCTTCGTTGCTGACCTGTCACCCGGTATTACGGAGCCATTTCTAAGACTTGGGGTCGCGTTTTTCATTCTGAATCCAATGTTGCAATATTTCTGGATAAGCTGCACACGCTGCACCTCGCACATGAATTGGAGCAGCCTCATTAAGAAGACGAGCCTAGGAGCAGTTTTCAGCGCGTCCATGTCAATTTCGGTCAACGAGTTTCTCCAAGTCTCGACGAAAAGCAAAACCAACAGCAAAGACAGCATATACAGCTATTTCGTCTCTTTTATCATACTTCTAAGTGGCATTGTGTTCTCAGGAGCCGCTTTGGGGCATAATTGCATCCTAGCAGGTGAAATTAGGCCATTCTTCGTCCTATTTTGCATTATTCTTCCTGTTTCTCTGGTTGGCATGTATACTGCTCTTGGTTTCATAGGACCCACTAATCAAGGCCCCTTGGAGTTTTCATGCTGTCTCGGCGTCTGTCTTTTCGTGGAACTCGCTTGGTATGGCTCCGAGTTGTTCATGGATAAGGTTGAGATGGCCCCGAAACACGCCGTCTCCCTGAGATGCATACTACTGCTCTGCATCCTCGCTACTCTGGTGGTGGTAAAATTCACGACATCTATTGCGCCGAGCACTGTGGGGCTTGTTATTTCTATAATGGCATCGGTTGGCCTTTGGACTCTTGTTGGGACAATTTCTTCCTTTGTCGAAAGGAGGCGGACTATGACACCAACTACCTAAGGTGGACACGATCAAGGCATTCCATATCAGACAGACAGATCATTAATAAAATGTAGCTCATATCGAATCTCTTCACACTAACCTCAATTCTATATAGCAACAATCGAATTACCAAGCAAGTGCATTTTCCTCAGTGGATTCGACGCCTTTCGGCTTGTCAACCCCATGTTCGGCCCCGCCTAGTGGTCTAAGAAAACATTGGCACACTTCGCAAGTACCCTGCCTTTAATGCGCTGATGAACTATAGCATGAAAGGCTTATGATGATAAATATAAGATGTTTTATAGACTTTATAATATTATTTATTTAGCTTATATTTTTATTTATTTATTTTAGTCTAAGTTGCGTCTCAATAGCTCGGCAAATGATCTCGTTGCCAACTTATAGAATGTCTTTTTTTTTTCCTTGGTGTGGGTGCCCGCGTGCCTCCACCTCCAGATCCACTCCCCATCCGTGCATAAGAACCCAGCTGCAACTCTATTCACACATCTACAGTCCCTCAACCGTGACCTTTGAATTGATTCAAGATGGGCAGTATCTCAGTGCGCAAATGGATCCGCTGGGTCCCTGAGGAGGCCAGTGAGCCAACTTCCACTCTCGTCCTCACCTCTCCCGGGCGGCACTTTGTTGATCTGCGTATCTACCTGCCCGAAGGCCATCAAGGGCCCTGGACCGGTCAACAAGGTAAGCACCTCTCCCTCCGTTTGATATCACTCAATTAACTAGTTCCAGACCCTCTGCCCTTGTCCCGCCTGGAATGGGGCATCGCCGGCATCTCAATCTCGACCAAGCGCCCCGACTCAACCGGCAAGCTAGCATCCTACTCAGCCTTCCACCAGTGGATCTCATCCCGCACATTGACACCAGAGCTGTTCCCCGACGCGGGCTTCATGTACTCCCAGCCCGACAACCTTGTGCTCGAAAAGGGCTCCATGCTCAACCCTGACACGGGTGCCGACGGCGAGTATGAGGAGCTCTGGCACGACGTCGACCCCACTGCCGTCCCCGGGGAGGGCGGTGTGAGAGTTCTGGTGGTCCAGCTGCATGACGATGAGCACCGTACGAGGGGCTCGGTCGTGAGGCTGGGAAGGCACATGCAGGGTTTTGTGAGGGTTGGTGATGATGTTGCGCTGGAGAGGTGGGAGTGGGATGAGGGATGGAAGAGGACTGTGAAGATTGGTGAAATTGGGCTGCCTTGTGAGAAGATCTTGAAGGGGGAGAATCTGAGCGAAGGCGATGTTGTTGAAGTGGGAGGAAAGCCGTGGATGGTTGTCGAGGAGAGCGGGAAGCGCGATGCTACTTCCAAACTGTAATCGCTTCATAGATGAAGAAGATGGAATTCATCATTATACACTTAACGAGATGTTTATGGATAGTGGAGGGGGATGAGGGAGTTATTAAGCTGAGTATGTGAAGTGGTCAAGACTTCACAATACGACCAACGACTTGAATGGCCTGTGAAGAAGACTTCACAATCAGATTTGCAGCGCCCGTGGGTAGTAGAGAGGGCCTCTCGGGGGCTGTTCAGGTAAGCGAGCAAAGCCATATGACTCCAAGCCTGTAAGTTGACGGCCAGCCCGTGATCGATGAGCGATCGGACGCTGCCTTGGCTGGAATCCATCAATCAATTTCACCAACATGCTCTTAAGAAAGGCTCCATAGAAATTTGATGGGCCTTGGGAAGTTCAATCTTCGGGCTCAGTTAACCCATCAAGGGCCGGGCTGCAACTATAATAAAGAACAGATCTTCAACACATTATAACATCATGGCCCGATGTTAACACAGCCTTGGGAAGTTCTTGGGGCCAAAGAGGCCTTAAAGAGTCACCGGATAGCCAACGAACTAAACATATTCCAACACTCTCTTATCGAATCAACTTCACAGTCATGATCACACACGCAAACTTGTCATGAAAAAAGTGTCTTCTCAGTCCGGCCCGGACCGGATGTCATGTATTCCACTCCCATAGGAGCAAATATCCCACCAAGAGCTTGATCATCATCTCTCACACTCAGCCATTCATTCATGTACATTTGTGCGAACACCACTCGCACACACCTTTCCTCCCCCTTCCTCCCCTGATTCCTTTCATCGTCTTTTGATGTTTCATCTACGAAAAACAGTATTTCGCTTGTGGTCTAATCATCTACCCGCCTTGTAGCAGCAACTCAAACAGGTACCAAAGCTTTATCTTCTCCCTCTCTCTCGTTCTTTCTTCACCTTCCTCCTCCCCTTGGGTCATAAAACACAACTCGAACACACTAAACATGCTCTTGGGGGCTTTCCATATGTACCCTCCATGGATGCTTCTTGCTCAAAAAACAATAGTTGCAAGTGCCGCGTTTATAGCAGACTCTTGCGGAGTAAAAACGCCCGCCGATGGTTGATAGAAACTCAGGCCCAAAATAATAAAAAGTAAACACTGCAATCAACTCTTCTGAGAAAGACTTCGTGCTTCGGAAATAAAACGTGGCGTATGCGAACAGAGTATAACCGCATGAGTAAAAAAGTTCTGGAAGAAACGTGCCGTGCAGCTCAGACAGCCCAGCTGCCCCGTCGTTCTCGGACTCCCCACCCAACAGGATCCATGCTGTCGAGGTTGGGGTGCTGTCTGGCCCACTCCTTGATATAAGTTCGAAGAGCTCGCCATCGAGGGCATCTCTTGTCTCGGGGCGTGCCATCGTCGGCCTCGACCAGGTGTCCCTTGGCAAGCTGTTGGTCGTCATCTCTCTCGAGATCATCAATGCTCATAAGACTGATGTGGGACAGCTCCTCATCAAAGGCTCGTGCCATGGCGGGGTATCCTAGTGATAGATAGTTGTACACCTGAGTGACGAAGCCGTCGTCAAACTCCTGGGCAATCTTCTCCTCACGCTCGGCGTGGGCCTTTTCCTGCTGAAGCCGCTCGTCGATGCCGTGGAGCATGTGTAGGCCCTTGGGGTTGCCGGCCCGGGTGCGGTGCTCCTTGGTACCATTGGTACCATTGGTCTGGCCGTTGAATAGACCGTTAGCACCGTTGATAGCGGCGGGCTCGTCCGTAAAGCTTGGAGAGCTGATATGCGAGGCGTTGCCGGGAGTAGCCGGCGGCTTGGGGGTTGTGAGCATGGGTGGGGCATGCAGGTCTGCTGGCACCAAGTAGGCATCATTCGATTCGGATCTGAAGCAGTATCCTCGCCAGAGACCCTTCTCTCCCGAAAGATCCCGGTACTTCTCCTCGGCATGGCGCTCTGCGAATGGGTGGTCTGGCTCCAGCTTGGTCTGCTTGGGCGACGGACACCTCCGAAAGACGAGATCCTTGCCCAGCATGGGTGGAGATACAGCCTGGCGCCTCTTCTGGAACGGGGGAGCTGGAGATCTGTGACCGAAGCCTCCGAATGGGCGTCCAAAGCCTCGTCCCGAGTTGCGAAAGCCGCCGGTGTCTGGGGGGATCTGAGAAGCTTTGGCGTATGGCACATCAGATCTGCCGGACGGCGCCGAGGGGATGTAGGGCATCGGAGATTCACCAATGTGCCGGGATGGCGCAGGTGCCGGGGAGGCGGCCTTATTAGTCTGCTCGGCCGTCAGATAAGAATCTGTCTGGAGCAGTGGCATGTACGTCTCCCCAATGGGGCCTGGAGCGCCGGGCGATGACCTCTTCCTGCCGGCGGGGGGCGCGTGCTGGTTGTTTGACGTGATCCACATCGGATCCGGAGGGGCGGTCAGGTCCATCTTGTCGAGGTCGGCCGTGTCTGTCCGCATCGCCGTATCCTCACCTTGCTTGCGCGCCGTGTGGTCCTCGTGGGGCTCTTCGGCGAGCGTCGCCATCTCGCCCGGCTTGGTCTCGGGCTCGTCCAGCACCATGGGGTCATCATGCTTCTGCTCTTGAACCTGCTCGGCGTGCTCTTGCATGTGCTTCTGCCACCAAGACATGTTCGCATCCGACGACTGCCGCCGCACATTGTGGTGAGCTCCAATGGGTTGACCATGGTGGCCGTGATGAACGGGCGATGTACTTTCTGGGGAGTTGTCGCTACCAGAACTCTCACGGAAGTAGAAGTGGTCAACGTTGCCTTCACGTTGGTGGCTGTTGGGAAAGGCAGCGAGGGCAGCCTCCTGCATCTGGCGCTCAGCCTCCTTGGCGGCAAGCTCTAGCAAATACGACATGACATTCTCATCCTCCGACTCGCGGCGCCGGGCGCCGTTGGCAACGGGAGACTCCTCATCGTCACGGCCGTCACCTCGCCGTCTCCCACGGTGCTTTGTAGCGGTGTAGATGTTTCTGGTGTAAGGGGTGATGTCGGTCTTGTCGCTGGGTTTCGTGGCAGGACCGGTATCTCCGACCCGGCGACTTCTACGCGAGGTCTCGATCAACTGAGGAGCGAAGCGTCGCTTCGGGCGCAACTCCTGGGGAACGGGTGAGGGCTCTCGAGGTGAAGCCTCGGGGGTGGGCTCTGGGTTGGGGCCCATGGTGCAGGGCGGTGTCTTGGGCTGGTAGTGATCGTTATGGTTGTTCTTTTGGCTGCTCAAAACCTGCTTTTGCTTTCCCGTCTTGCTCCTGAACGTCTCAAAGGTAGTCTCAATGGGCTCGGGAGCAAACCGTCGCCTTGGTTTATCTGGCGCTGCCATGATGGAAGGAAGAAACGAAACGAGCGAAGGGGTCGGCGAGGGCGGGATGACTCGTGACTGGCTTCTCGAGGTTGGCCTGTGTGTGCGCTTCTGCGCGAACCTTGCCTTGGCTTGTGCTGTGCGTGCGGTAGGTGCTGTTTGTCGGAGGGGTAGACAAAAATAAGGAAGCGATGAGTGCACGCAGGGGAAAAGAACAACAAATAAGATGCAACTGGGCAATGAAGAGTGTAGATGTATGTGTGTCTAGTAGATGTAGAACCGACGATGTGATGAATGGTTCAGAATTGGCAAGCGACGACAATGACACAAGAAACGTTGGAAAAGCGATGAGAGCGGAGTGCGCGAACTTGGATTTTGGGCTTATTTAGTACTAAAGACGAGATACTCATGGGGGATAACAAGGCGGGCGGGGCGGACGCAACGCAACGCAACCAAGAGAGGGAGACAGGCGTGGACGGGATGGACGGACTGGGATGGACTGGGACTGGGGCAACAGGTACCAGAATAGTTCGTTTGCGGTAGTCCAGGTACTTGACGAACAGAACATCCATCCATCGCCCGGCGCCGGCGGTCACAAGTTCACATTTCAATCAAATCCACGGACAACGATTCGTACACAACGACACCCCCACCGACAATCCGGACTCCCTCCAGCGCTTGCTACGTGCTGTGCCCGCGGTGCTATGCCATGGATGCCAGGCCACAGTAGCGTCAGACTCTTCATACGAACTGAATTGGAGGCGGCCTAAAAAAGGTACCGCCACAGTCATCGCCTGCCCTCTACGCTACGCCATCCCAAGCCCGTTTTCTCAACTGTCCTTGTCCAGCTGCCCAGTTCTCTGATGTCGGATACGGCCGAGTCGCGGCCATATCACCCAGAGACAAGAAGAGGCCAGCCAGCCAGCTAGCCGGACACCTGTTCCCGACAGAGTAAAGCCCCTGGAACGCAAGGGTCCTTGTCATACCCTAGGAGGGGAGAGCTTAGGAGCTTAGGGATCTAGGGGACCCGGTGGCGACCATGATGATGTCCATGGCCCCATTGCCAGGGGACGGTTCAAGAATTTGGGGACACGGCATCGTCACTCATCTACGTATGGCATTGGATCGTCATCTGGCGGGAAAGTTGACGATGTGCGGGTTGCCGTGCTGTCCATGGGGTTTGGTGTTTTTTCCTGCACCTCCCACAAAACGCCCACGCCGAAACCGGTGACCTATCCATTCTGTCCAGGTCGTCACCGTCAGAGACATGAGGAATTGGTGGGGGTGTCTCTGAGCCCTGCCACCATGATGGTGGGGTTTCATTAACATGGGGAGATTGAGCCAAGGGGTATTGAGGCAGTGCGATCAAGTATATCCAGACGTCGCACTGTCCTGAGATCATTCCATCTTGGCGAAAATGAGCGTATGACTCAGGCCTCACAGTCGCAGAGCCTCATACTCGCACATGTCAGCTACCTCTTCACCAGAAAAATGAACGATTCCGTAAATCTCTGAGACTGAGCAACGTCAGCGACACAACCAAGCACGAGTCCTCGGCAGCCCATGTCCAACAATTCCAGTCGTCAGAGACGTTTAATGAAGCTTTCACGAGGTACGAGCCATTCGCCATTGACCATGTATGATACCGACATTCGAGCTGACGACAGGGCCGATGGTGTTGTTTTTTGCCTAAACACACGCACGCACACACACCTCTGTCTACGCCCGGCGCCGCGGCGAAACCAAGAGCCATCCATTACTCGGCCGGGCTGCCATGTGATGCCCTCTTCCCACCGGTGGGCGATGTCCGCGCTTTGATCTCTCCTGTTTGTGGCCCTGTAGGGGGAGGCCTGGCAGCAGCGCCGCAAGGCCTCACTCCAAGGGCCCCCAAGGCCTCACTTCCAGGAATACAGGACACTATCAGTCTTGGACCTTCCCCTAAGAGCACACACGAGCACACATACTCGAAACGAGCAGCAACCAGCCGGACTCCTCTGAGGTGCAGCAGGAAGCTCGCCACATGCGTCCGCGTCCGCCCCCGGCCCCCGAAGCCGTGTCGCCCGGTGCGGCTACGAGCCTAACAAGGACCCGCTGCTAGGGTGTTTCCGCCGTGATGTTCCTGCAGTTGCGCGCCTTCACCGACACTTTTCTTTAGCCTAGAGGTAACGGAGTTACGGTACACAAGAAATCATGAAACTTTACGAGTGAAAAAAAGAAAGGAAAAATAAAAGGGGAGACTTTTGAGCGGGAGACTGCCCGATGCGCTACCAAGCTACGGGTAGGCCGTGGAAGGGCCTAATGCGGCTGCGGCTCTACAGCAATGTGACCCTGTAGTAGGGCCGGCACATCGTCACCACTGTGGCGAAACGTGAGGCTATCCAAGAATAATCACGGGCAGCAGATGCGAGCTTTTGAGGCTGCACGGCATGTGCTGTGCTGCTACCCTCCCACGCGGGTCATGAAATTATAGATCAGACACCAGAATGGTAGATAGCCTCGAATACTTGATTGCTGGGACGTTGATGAACTATGAGTCCATATAGAAGTGAAGAAATGGCTGCAAAAGAGGTAGTGCAAGAAAAGGTGATACGATAGAAGTCTTCTATGCATGATTTATCACATAGTATTATACTTTTCCAACGTATCCTTCAAGCAACATATACCGGTCCTTCTGTACGAGTACTGTCGTCTTATTTTTTCCTCCAACCCACGTCCTACCCATGGCTATCTCTGCGGCGTCAGGTTCCATCCAATACTTCACACCCTCTCGGGAAGCACGTAATCAAGAGCCTCAAGGGTCCCTTTATCTCTTTTTTTCTTGCTGCCCTGCGATCTGCTGTTGTTGATAGAGATGCGCATCCTGTATGACCACCGTTGGGAGCGTCGTGGGTTACACAAGGCGCACCCGCGTCAATCCCTGAGGAGGATGGAACTCTACATGGGATACAACGACGAGACGACATGTCTACTATCGACTCTTGCGAGTTGCCTTTTGAGCACACCGACTCACGTAGATAGGCAACTCGCTCGTTTTACAACATGCCGTCCTTTACAGCTTGTATTCCTACAAGCAGTCAACCTCCAAACCATGGACAAATCCTCTAGGAATCAGTATCTCCAAGGTCAATCAACCATTATGCATTACCCCCCACGCAATGCATCCCATCTTTACATATCCCATCCACACATCTCTCATGTCGTCACACCCACATACACGCAGCCAGCCAGCATCTACCGGCGGGCGGCTCCCCGAGAGGTAGAGAATGCGACAACGAGAAAACATCTGAGCACAACCCGGCGAGGAGACGGAGCCAATGGCAGTGACTCTCCCGCAACCACAGTCGAACCGTTGCATTCAGCCACTTTTCTCCCCCTCTCCAGGAGGTGGGACCTGCTTCTCGCAAACAAACAAGTCGTTATCGTCGTTCCCAACCACCTGCCGCCTACAACGGGACCTTGTTTCTCGCGGAGTTTCATGTCCACAACATCCATCCCTTGCCTTGTTCTAAACCCCCCACACTCACCGCATCTGCCATGTCCCAGCCCCAGATGCATCCTCTCCCCCTTGTCTCACTCACCATCCCATCCAGAAAGCTGCCGTTTGCCGTACTCCGCTGAGAACACGACCAAAAGGCCTGCATCGTTCTAGCTGCCGAGTAAATCCCCCGGAATGATACCCTACTTTTCTTTTCGAGGCCATCAAAGCAACGAGACCCCCCTCCCCCTTGCAGACCCCCCTCCTCCATCATCAATATCTGACTACACATCCGCCTTTTTTCTCACCCATCACGATATAGCCAAGATACGCTTACCTGTCAAACCCCGGTGCACGGCTCTATATCTTAGCCCATCGCCATCCTCAACTCTCCTGACATTTTCTAAGCCCCGTACCGTCCTCCTTGTCAGCATCTCCCGTCGCTTGTCGAATCGGTGAAGCGCTCACAAACCCGTGGCCGGCTGTGGCCCCCTCAGGTGATGGCCGCGTCTTCCAACCCTTGACTTGTTACTATGTACTCTCACCTTCTTTTTCTACCTCACATTATTGAAAGCTTACTCTGATATCCCTGCGCTTCAAAGAGGATACACGTGGGTCATTCTCCATGCGAGCCTGCTTTTCCCAGCACCGGAAGAAATCCAACCCCCCCTGGCCGGGATATAAGCGCGATGCTCAAGCGAAAACATTACATGTCCAGATGGTGGTGCTACTTTTCACACACCGCTCCTGAACCTCGCTGAAACCTTATTGTGCCCATTGCTCTGATTTTCTGGGGTTGCAATCTCCCCCTCCTGCCGGCATGTCTTGAGTCGAGCTGGGCTCTAGAACCATCAGTTTTCCTTTGTTGCTGCAAAGAACGAGATCCAGCCCCAGATGGTCTCGCCGTGACATTCTACCACAGCAACGGCCATAGGCCAAGAGTCTTTGTGTAACCCAGATGCCATCTCAATGTTTCACATGTCGAATCTCTTCTCTCTCTCCCCAGCTGAGAACAATCTCAACTTGGCACCACCTTCCCCTCCCCATCATCCCGCTCGTCCTCAATGATCGCCGTGCACGGCACTCCACAAGCCATGTGTTTCCCGGTGTGGCGCCCGCGGCAGCCGGACTGAACTCTAACCCCCCCTTCAAGCAGCCACGGACAAGGACAATACCAACGCCCATCGTCTTGGCTGACGGGCGGGTTCGGTGCCCCTCCTCATCCCGACGGCCGATCGGAGCTGGAAAATCCCCCTCCATCAGACCTTCTGGAATGCATGTCTCTCATCCCCAGCCAACCGTCTTCTCCCAAGCTGCAGATCGCGGGCGCGGAGAGCCAAGGGTCCGTCTCACGGGAGAAAACACACGACGCCAGTCCGTCCCCTCTCAACGAGTCGAGATCTACGCTGGTGAAAAGGCACGAGTCGAGAACTAGCCCCGTGAATCTTCTCAGCGTAGTCGTACTGCAGGGTCCTGACACGGCGTCGGGCTTGTAACTCTATCGCGAGCGTGTTACTGTACTTTTCTACGCCGTCACCATGAGTAGCTCCCCGCTTGACTTTTGGAAGCCATCGTTGGATGCGGGTGGCCGATGGTTGGCCGATGGCGGAATAACGGCAACATCGTGAGGATCTCGTAGACATCCCTTCCACATGCTTCGCTTGACCCGAGTGCAGTATTTTGGATCTTCATCTCATCTGGCGTCAACATTAGCGTCGAGATTGAAAGTAAACGGCCGGTGACTGCCGTGACCAAGATTTTGGATCGAGATGACGATATCTGACCGAGCAAACATACGATGTTCTAGATCAAGTGACGGGACCGGAATATATGCATGCAAAGCTCATTTCTTGGCAAATGTCTTTTGTATGTCAAGAAGAGGCACAGTTCCAGGCCATTTAGCCACAGTCGAATCTTTCCCTAGACGTCGTGGCTATGTCAATACATCACTTGAGCAGAGTGGCAGAACATACCAAGGATCGCCAGACTGGCCATAGATAGAACATCCAGTACGACTGAGTAATATCGTCCAGTCAGCGCCGCTATCGGAGTTTTTTCTAAAGGCTGCCCGTTGCAGAGTGCAACCTTATTCCATGGCTTGCTTCAGAACACGAGGCGTGCTACACAGGATGTCCTCGAGTTTTCAGGTGCGACGATGAAGGTTACCTCGTGTACACCTCATGCGCCATTTACTCGAGCTTTACATGTAGATAGGAGAGTTTACAAAAAGATATGTGTTGGCTTGTCAACGTTCCAACTATTGTGTGTTGCTCGCTACGCTCACCTACAGACTCTCTGACATTTGTTAACCACATCACAACACGAAAAGACCATCTCCGGTTCTCCCAGGTCATGGCCAGTCGATCATGTCTACAATCAACGAGACCGAGATACGACGCCGTGTTCCCCAGATTCTGGGCCTGACCGACGCTTCTCAAGGGCCCAAGATCCTCATGCTCCAGCCACCCTACACCCTCGACGGCAGCTAAGTGTGACTACAACAACTTCAACTTCTCCAAACCTCGACAAGACCTTATTGTCTAGGAAAATGTACTTCTAGCTGTAGCAAGACTTCAGGTCAAGTAATACAAGCTTTGAGTAAAGCATCTGGAAGCAACTAGCAGCTTGGCGAGGTGCTCAATCCGTGTGGGCGGAAACAGTGTTGGTTTACAAAGCCAAGTTCTACATAGTTACCTCGAAGCAAGATCAACACCACCCATGACGACCAAAGGGAGCTGAGTAACTCGTCTTCTCTGCTTATGTAGCTCTCCAACCAATTCTCAATGCTGATCAATCCGAGTTTCTCCCCAAAAGCAATTGGTAATCAGCCCTCTCAAATCATCCCTTTCGGTCGTCATAACTATCCCCCAATCCCCCCTCGGTCATCATAACCATGCAGTGATTCCAACTCGGTCGTCATAATCGTCTCTCCCTCGCTGCCCGGTCGTCATTTTAATCTCTCCCCTTCCCATGTTCAACCAACAACTTTACTAAGCGCTCAGCCCAACGGTCGTCATAATCGAGTTGTGAGGCGTTTCGTTAACTATTGTGTTTGTCAGCCCCGTCTCCTCACTAACCCGAACGAGGCAATTCCATCCACACCTCGCGAGGGAAAGCCAAGGAATCATTGCTGGGAGGCTTTGTTCCTGGGGATATGGCTTGGGCATTGACCAAGATGCCGCTGAGGCGGGGAGAGTTGCGGGATGGGTACAAAGGATGGACGAGTCTCCCTCTTTCGGTGCTTTGGACTGCTGCAAGCTTCGTTCTCAGACAGGCATAGCCTTGAATAGACAATCTCAACACTATACTCTATACTCTGTTCTGTGAGAGACCATGGCTTCAGACGAAGAGAGCATCAACGGTCAACATGAGCCTGCCGTTGACGTCGAGAAACTCGGCCGTCAACGACCAGAGGTGTTCAAGTCAATCTGGGCTGAGCTAGGTTTTGGCATCTCAGTTTTCTGTTCCATGCTATTAGCTGTAAGTACAACCTGAACCCTTCAGGGCTTCCATCAGACTCTAACTAGATACCAGGAATTCTTCGTCAGCGGCTTCCATGTCATCCTTCCTCCCCTGGCCAAAGAGCTCGACATCCCTCAGGCCTCCCAGACATGGCCTTCGAGCGTTTTCTCTCTCGTCACAGGAGCAATGCTCCTCCCCATGGGCCGGCTCGGTGATATGCACGGCGGATATCTCGTCTTTAACGGCGGACTGCTTTGGTTCTTCATCTGGGCTCTCGTTGCGGGCTTCAGCAAGAACTACATCATGCTCATCTTCTGCCGTGCCTTGCAGGGCCTCGGTCCAGCTGCATACCTGCCAGGCGGCGTCATGCTGATGGGCAAGATCTATCGTCCCGGCCCACGCAAGAACCTCATCTTCGCACTCTATGGAGCGTTCGCGCCACTTGGCTTCTTCCTCGGCATCCTAATCGGAGGGCTTTCCGCCGAGTTCCTGACCTGGCGGTGGTACTTTTGGATCGGCACCATCATCTTTGCTGTCGTCACTGTCATCTCGCTGCTCGCCGTGCCCTTTGACTACAACCGAAAGCGGGCCGACATATCAATGGACTGGTGGGGAGTCACCACAATTGTACCGGGGCTGCTTCTAATTGTTTATGCCCTCACGGATAGCTCGCACGCCCGGAATGGCTGGGCTACTCCGCATATCATCGTGACCTTGGTTCTCGGCATCATCCTCCTGGTCGTGGCATGGTACGTTGAGACGCACAAGGCCAGGCATCCTCTCCTGCCGGCTGACCTCTTCGCACCAAAGTGCATGAAGCGCCTGACTGCAGCATTGTTCATGAGTTTCGGCACCTTCGGGATCTTCCTGTTCTACTCCAGCTTTTACATAGAGCTGGTGCTCCACAAGTCGCCGCTTACGACAGCCATCTGGTACATCCCTCTGTTCGCCGGTGGGTTACTCATCGGCACCGTCGGCGGATTCACTCTGCATTTCCTTCCTGGCAGACTTCTGCTGTTCATCTCGTGTCTGGCCAATGCAACGAGTATGCTGCTATTCGCTCTTATGCCAGAGAACCCAAACTATTGGGCATGGGTGTTTCCGTCCATGGTGTGCTGTACCATGGGCATTGATATAACCTTTACAGTCAGCAATATCTTTCTGACAACAAATATGCCAAGTCACAGGCAAGGATTGGCCGGGGCATTCATCAACAGTATCCTCTTCCTAGGCATCAGCTTCTTCCTCGGCATTGCGGACATTGCTGTGGGACAGACGGCTCACCTTGGGCTCAGACAGAGTTACAAGGTGGCCTTCTGGATGGCATTCGGCGTGGCATCAGTTCCCCTGCTGTTCCTCCCATTCCTCAAGATTGGATCCGCAAAGAGCGACCTCACGTTGGAGGAGCGACAGAAGCTTGAGCAATCGAGGGGAGATGAACGCCAGGCGGAAGAGTCGGAGACTGAGGTGGAGCCTGAGTGGGAGCATGAGCTCAAGATGTTTGAAGCAACAGAATTTCGGCAGTTCAAGAATGGGTCGGTAGATGGACTGGGCAGGGATTTTAATGACGGGGACGGTAATAAGGACGATGCTAAGGCTGGGAACAGATACCCTGAATGGATCTGACACTTGGGTGTAACGGGGCCCTGTCAATAGTTGCCAGGCAAAATCGATATGTAGTCTGAGGCTGAATAAGAGAAGAATATCGGAAGAAGGGTCCAGTCAAGGATGTGCAGCAAATAGACAAGATCCTGATATCGATGAGGCTGGTCAATAATACCGGGAGAAGCACCATGTTCCTTGCCATGGAAGCTTCAAGTGTTTCTACAAGGATGACGGTAGAAACAAACCCGGCGTCCCGGATGTTGGAGAGGTAAAAGCCGGATGCGGCGTGCGTAGGGACAGCCCTGCCACGGCTACACCAAAAGGCCATCCGCCGAGGCCAAAGCAAAAGGCAAAAGGGGCGGTTTTGGTTTAGAGGTCTGGCACATTAAAGTTGCGACGAAAGGGACCGCAATGCCCCTGCATGAAATTATGTACAGCCCCCTTGTCTCGAGCAAGGGTTGTTGCGGGATGGGCATGGGAAACGTGGTCTTGAGGCTGCCGCCACTTGAGATTTGTGCAACAGTGGCTGGCAAATGAGGCGAGCAGGAGTCGAGAGTTGATTCAAGCTGTTGCGCGTTGCCCAGAGGTGGCTGCGAACCAGGGCTTGACCGTTGGGTGTTTATGGAGACTTGATCATGGCGCCCTTGTCAACGGTCAATGTCAGACAGAGACGCTTGGATCCAGCGTTTTCAACTCCAGCAAGTCATGGTCCATCGCAGTCGTTGCCAAGTTGGATTGCAGGCTGTGGCTCGGCTGACAGAAGCCGCTCAAGCTCACCAAAGACGGGCTGTGCCTTGTCTTGCATCACCAAGGGCCAATCCCAGCTGTCGCACAGAGCGCAAGACCTTGCCGGATGCAGATCTCGAGCGTCATCGTTGTGTGTTGGACTGTACCGGAAGACGGAGTAGCTCCGGCTTTTGTCGTGGAGAAAGCGGAGCGGGTAGAGACCGTAGGGAATAGCACTAGAGCTAAAGCATCAAAACCATCAACCAAGCCTATGGGAATTCACGCAAGAGGTAAATGACCAGGGTCTCTGGACGATGCACGAGTGGGCTTCCTTTCCGTTGGGTCTGGCGTTGGCGATGGCGTCGAGCTGCCGCCAGGGAAGAAAGCAGGGCAGACGCTGAGATGACGAGATGGTGGGTATCTAGTTCAGGGCGAGGGGACAGCGACGGTGACTATGCTCAGTAGAGGCTGCTTGTTGTTTATCGCGTTGCTATCGATTGGAGCAAGAAATCCATGGGTTGACTGGTGAGCAGCAGCCATGTGGCGGGCCAAGAAATCCGGGGGAGCAGGCGATCAGACCCAATGACGATAATGACGACCAAGATAACGGATAGAGGGAACGTAGCGTAGCGTAGCAGCGGCAGATAACAGACCCTATGCAGTGTTCATCCTTCGGAATACAAGGTGAGGGAATATCCGACAAGAGAGAGATAACTTCTTTACAGCCTTTTCCCAATCCGAAACAAAAAGACTGCAGAGAAAATTCTGCTTTCCCTTTCATTTTCCTTTCTTTTTTGCGTCATTGGTCACTGGGGAAGAGGATCGAAGGTGTGGAGAAGGGGGACGTTTCTAGTGCCTTTGATGAGTCGCACCGATCGAAGTGCAAGTGGAGGAGCCAGACCCCGGCTTCGTGAAGGTGTCAATGACTTCAGGGCGTGCAGGCCTCTCAACACCTTGATGATTTTGATGAGACGATAGAGTTGGGCAATTCGGCCAGTAGAAGACATTTGGCTTGGATAAGTCGCATCCCCAGACGCAGGCGCATCAACTTTGGTCGTAGAGTTTGGGATGGGTACCTCTAATCCACATCCACACTCTTCAACAAAGAGAGTGTGACATCCGGGGAGACCACCGCAAGCTTTGAGTGTGCATTCGCCCCGAATTGATTTATCCTCAAAACCTTTTTTTCGGCTTGTTTTGTTTACTTTATCAATGTCAACACGGTCCTTCTCAACAACCAAAAAGGCATTGACGTACAGACAGACTCTTGACTGTCCTTCTTGTCCCACTATAACCAGCGCTGCCATCCTGGACTCCCGACCTGGACCAACTTGGAAGCTCCAACTTTTTACGCGACTCGCAAGGCCCTCCAACTTTTGGATCAACGGTTCCGGACAATCCATCGCCTTTTACTCCTCTCGGGATTTTTTCCATTTCTCGGGATTCATCTCTCGGGAACTCACTCATCTTCTCTTACTCGCCCCCGTCCCCGCTTCGTCGTTTGCCTCTTGTCCTCCCGGGACCTTGCATCTAGTCCGACCCGAGGGTCGCATTGCCCGTGCGACATCCGTCCCATCTCGACCGCTCAAGAGCCTGCAGCGAGCGCCGCGCGAATCGCTCTCTCGTCTCGTCTGTCTGTCCATCCATCAGTCACTCGTCGCACTGCGCCTGCGAATGCGCGCCGTCAGGTACGGGCCGACCTTTCTGTTTGATTCTCATTATCCTGCCGGCCACGTTGTGTGTGCATCTCGTGCGAGCACTCGTCGCTAGGACCAATTCCCTCTTCCCTTCCCCTCGACGGACGGATCCATTTGAGTCTGTCTCATCTCATCTCTGCGGGCCTTTCCGCACGTACCTGCTTGTGTACCTGGATCATCCTGCCCTTTGAGCGAAACACACGCCGGGATACCTTGCTCTGTGCGCGGCAGCCACTCGATATCATCTCACGAGCAGGGTCTTTGTCAGTTCAGTCTGCGCTGGCAGAGCGTCGTTTTCCATTTCTTCTTCTCTGACCTGACCTGTCGTCTTTCTAGTCTTCAGCCATTCAAATCCTCCATCTGCATCCCCGGCTGATTTGCAACAAGATCTTCCCGCCTTGTTCCCGTCCCGTCGACTGTTGCGCAAGGACCCAAGCTTCATCTGCACACTTGGACCATTGTGCCTCTGCTGTCCTTAACCAGCCATCTCCTCTCTACTTCTTTTCCCCTTCTACTTCTTTTCCCTATCGCGCAGCGCAGTCTTGATTTCAAGGTTCTCGACTTCATTATCTCAACCCCAGGCGCGCCACGGGACCTCGCTACCACCTTCATCAGCCACTGCGAGACACCGGCTTCCCGCTATCAATCAACTACTACCAAAGCTGCTACGCCCGCAGCGCCCTACACCTCAAAGCACACACCGACTTCAGCCCGTCATATCATGGGGTGTTGACCCGTGACCTCGAGATACCACACCTAGCAACGCGATATCGATTCCTCTTCAAGCTCACCCGCCAATTGTGAATGGGCAACCCAGGTCGCGCTCTTGGTCTGGGGAGCCTACCCTTTCGCCTTGCACCCACTTTCTTGTCTGGATTATCCACCAAGCTGAATCCAGAACAGCTCCAGCAGAGTCTGCGTTGAGCGCAAGACATTTAAACTGACACCGAGGCGGTCATCCCCTGTCTTGCCTTGACCACTTGGCGCAGGATCGCCTCGGCTTTGCCCATCAGGCCGACAAGCAGCCATCATGACTGCTCCCTCACAATCACAGCCCGCCAACCGCGGTCACGAGAAGGATGACGGCCAGTCCGACCCTGTGCTCCTATCTTCTCCCCTCTCAACCCCTCTCACCACGAGTCCTGAGCCGGTCTCGTTCCAGTCGCTGGCCGACCAGAATTCAACACCACTCAGCATGTTAGACGACTCATGCTTTCTGGACACGGAAAAGTCCAACATGAGCAGCTTTGGTGCCATGGTCGCTGATGCTGGAGCTGCTAGTGCAGGTGGCGACAAGCCCACAGCGTCCTCGGACCAATTACCAACAGGGCCATCCGCTAGAGGCCTGGACCCCAGCACTCAGAGCCAGCGCACTGCAGATCTTGGGACTGCTGTCTCTGCTGCGGGTGACGGCAACGCCGAAACGACACGTGCCGTTGATGATACCGTCAATGCTTCCCGTCGAGTTGATTCAAATCCATCGACTAGCCAATCTGCTCGCGATGGAGGCTCAAATCAGGGTCCTCTAAAGAAAGATCGACAGGACATCGACAGTCCAGCTCTGCAGGATCAGCATAGACGACAATCACAGCAAAAACTCATTTCGCCAGCAACACTTAATACGACGAGCCTGCCGGCCCAAAATAGCAGCGCCCCATCCAGCGGCATCTCGCCTCTCAGGGGCCCGCATCAGAATCGAATGGACCTCTGGAACAGAAATCAGCAGCGATACGAGACTGCTCCAGCGCCCACAGGGTCAGTGCCAGCTCAGGCGCCAGCGCTCCCTGCATCAGGGATAGCAACTGCACCAGCGAGCGCCCACTGTACGGATAGTGCTGCTTCTATTGCTGTTGCTCGAGGCGCCACACTGGACATGTCAGCATCCACTTCACCCACTGGCACTGGCACCAAATCCGCTTCCCCTGGGCATCGACCGGGCTACCAAGACGGCCACCTCAACGGTCATTCCTCACACGACACCCACGGCCACGCTTCCTCTCCCTCCTATACATCCTCCCCTTCTCCTCTTCGAGTTGGAAGCGTCCAACCCACCACAAAGTTCGTCCAGCCGCGCCCGAGGACAATCGTTCGCACAACCTCCGACTCGGGCTCCCTCGATCTCAAACATCCCACTCCCGACATCACCTCCCAGGCCCGATCTGGGGCCTACGTTGGGAACATCGCCCAGCTCGAGGCCACTGCTGTGCGACTGTCTATGACAAGTTCCATCGACGATGCAATCCGTGATTTACACACCGAACTGAAGCGATCCGATTCTCGACGTTCGTCCATCCTCGCCGCCAGCGTCAAGGCTTCGGGTTCTGTCGACGATTACACCCCCGGTTCGGCAGTCGAACAACTCAGACGACACCCCTCAATCGCATCCTCCATCGTTTCGACGAATAACGCTGCTCGCTACGGCGGCTACTCTCCCGCCGGATACGTTCTCTCTCCGAACCACTCGCTTACTGGCCGTCTGCGCTCGGGATCCAAGAACTCGGCTGGTCGACCAGATTTTGACCTCGACTCTGTCCTGTCACGCCACGGCCCAGGCAAGGCGTCTGTCAGAAGTGTTCGATCTACAAAGATCTCCCTTGCAGAGATTTCAGAGTCCGAACCTATTTCACTAACCCAGGACGTTCTCGACATGGCGGACAATTCGCCCCCCATTAAGAATACGGAGAGCGACTCTCTCCTCCCCAACGAGCTTCGCGATGCCAATATGCCCGCCACCGATGTCTTCAATAAGATGATGGGAGACGATGACTTCTTGGATAAGAACGAAAAGAAGCCTGCCGATGCCACCACGGGACTTCTCTCCGATCAGGAAGAATCTCGAGAGCCGAAGCGGCCTGGAAGTGCGCACTCTGACACGACTTTCCAGCAATGTCAAGATGCGTTCGGTGACTTTGATGGTGTGCACTGGGTTCCGGACCAAGAGGACCCCTATGCCCCTCCTGAAGGGCCAGTGTCTCCTCCCAAGAGACAAATGCCATCCGCTGCCATGGCTCGGCCGCAGTCTTACATGGACCCTGAGACTGGTCAGCAGATGCTCTACTACCCGGCCCGAGTGCCCGCCATGCTCAACCTACCCCCGAAACTGTCCAACAAGCCCAAGGCGACCGAGAGGAACAAGCGACGTTCCCAAGTGATGAGTGCCATGTTTGAGGGCAACAGACAGTCCCGTGTGCTAGATGACAACCGACGCTCCCAGGTCCTGGATAACCATGACACTACTCGGGACTCTTGGCTGCCTGACCCCCTTGCAGGCCACCGAGAGTCGTTTGCTGCTCTGTCTACAGAGCAGCTGCAGCATGTAGATCAGGAACCCCAGACCATCCGCTCTGTCCATTCGGACCGAGATGAAGCGCCTGCAGTCCAGCCTGAGACAGCGCCCGAAGCTGAGGCCGAGCCACTGAGACGGCCCAGGCGATTGTCTAAGATGGATCCTGACAAGCGCAAGTCGAGAATGTCCAATCTGCCACCGCAGCTGAGGGCCAGTGTCTACTTTGACTCGCCCCCGGCCGCACAGCAAGATATCGAGGTCAAGGACGGATCCGCCATGGCCACTCTCGACAGCATCCTGGATGCATCTGCCAACGCACCAGTCAACGCTTTCACCGACCACGAACGAGCTGGCAAGCTTGGCCAGGAGGTGTACGGAAAGGAACGAAAGCGAGCATCGGTCGCTGCATCGACGGTTCTCCGCCCTGAATCGGGCGAAAAGCAGCACGAAAAGCATGCTAGGAAGCGATCCTCCTTCATGTGGCTCAAGCGACACAGCCATGAGAGCGACGACGATGACCACCGAGCTAGCAAATCGGATTCTGGACTTGGTCCCGTCAACGCCGATACACGTGCGACTGAGAATGAGGCGCTGGCTCGCAGTGTCGACGGTCGCAGCGAAGGCCACTCCGATGACGAACAAGAGGCCAAGGAAGGGGAAGAGTCTGAAGAGGAGGCTTACTTTGGACCACCCACGACACTTCTGGCTGAACTTCAGTTGCGTAAGCAGCAGCAGAAGCAGCGTACCCAACGAACGTTCCCCGGCGGCATGCATGCAACCTTGCTAGAGATGGACGCTGTTGCCGAGACTCAGCGAAAGGCCAGAAAGGATAAGCGTGTGAACTTGGCTTGGGAGGACGCCGATGGAAACCTCGTCGACGAAAACTCGGATGATGAGGATGTGCCCCTGGCCATTATTGCGGCCAGGAACCAAGGCGCCCAGAACGTCATGGACCTCAACCGACCACTGGGCTTGATGGAGCGTCGCGAGATGGAGGATAATGAACCTCTAAGCCAGCGTCGAGCTCGTCTTCATGGACAAGACCCCAGGTCTGTCATGATCCGCAAGCCCAGCATGAACGACCTCGGTGCCAATAACTTGAGCGCAAACTATCTCCCACAGACTCCACAGTCGGCACAACATCCGGCAACCGAACCCGATGATGAGTTGGAGGGAGAGACTCTTGCTGATCGGAAACGCCGGCTCGCCGCCAAGGACGAAGCAGAGAATCCTCTGCCCAAGGCTCGACCCGTTAGCGGTGCCTTTTCCGTGGAACTGCTAAGTCAGTTTGAGGATCCTGAAGAGAAGAAGAAGCAGGAAGAGGAGAAGGCGAAGCCACCTGAGGAAGAGACACTCGGCCAGCGTCGTCGTCGTCTACAGGCTGAGCGTGAGGCTCGTGAGCGTGAAATGAGCTTCAACCAGCTGAACGCAGGACCTGGAGATGCCGGGGGTCCTGGAGGAGGTCCAGTGCCTGGCATCAACGGCAGAATGCATCAGCTATCAGACATTCTTGCCACGCACCCCAAGAGAGAGGCTGATATTATTGCGCAACAAGAGCGAGCTCGCGTGGAACGTGAGAACCGACTCGCACGAGAACGCGAGGCCAAGTTGGCCGCCTATCGAAATCAAATGCCACAGACCTTGAACCGGCAGATGCCACAGAGTCTCGGTGGTGGTGCAACCAATGCTCACAATGGTGCTTTCCGAGGCGGTGCCTTTAATGATGGCACAGGCGGTCAAGGCCCTCAAGCAGCCATGTCCTCGCCAGCTCTCAACACACAACTTCTCAGCCAGCCAGCCCTTAATCACCGAACGAGCGCTGTGTTTAGCGCTTACGGCGCACCGATACAACAAGGCCCATATGGTGGTTCTGCTACCAACCTGGGTATGATGAACAACAACCCCAACATGGGTAGCTATGCTGGTATGAACAATCTGAGCCCGTATGGCGGTGGCGGCGCCGTGTACGGCGGAGGCTTGATGCAACCGGGCATGCAGCCTATGCCTGGCGGTTCAATGAACAGAATCGAGCAATGGCGCCAGAGTGTACTCCCTTGAGTTCATCATCGAGCTGACATCTCGCCGCCAATGTCTATCATGACGTATCAACACGATTAGAGTGGTACCAACAGAGGCACTCACTCACCACATCACTGTACTATTGACGAAGAAGAAACAAGGAGGGGACATTGCAGCGAAAGCGCTCGCTATTGAATTGGGTGTTGGGTGTCCCGGATAGAGAGCTACACCAGAGGCAAGCAAAGATTTTGGGGGTTTCGTCTTTTTTAATCTTTTTAATCATGGCACCTAGCATAGCATGGCGCTGGGAACTACAAGGGCAGGATGGATAAAGCAATCTTGGCAACGAATAGTTGTCGTCCTTTTTTGTAATTTGAGTCTTGTATTCTATCATGAGGGAGGTGTGTGGTGTCTTGTCTAGATCAACATGAACACGATGACATGAACCCAACCAAGTCTTGCTTGTCTGGCGTGATTGTTCCACAGCGTGACGAGCTTTTCAATGACAGTCGATGCAAGATCTGCAGATGGTAGCTTCATACTTGTCGTGACCTTGATGCTGCTTTGGCCGAGGGATGAGAATCAAGTATGCACATACATACATAGTGAGTTCCCGAGAGATGAATCCCGATAGAAGAAAAGGCGATGGATTGGGAAACGGTGATTTAAATTGACTAACTCCAAGTTCATAAAGGACACTCTTTAACCTCATAGCATACCCAGAACCCAGTCAGACATCCAGTTTTACACAGTCAAGCCACAACTCCAAGTTCACAAAAGACGCTGTTCTTCCTCCGACGCAAACGCAGACTCTAGGTCCAGAGACCATGATCTGTCATCCTGCTCCAAGTGTCTGCCCTGAGCAGGCACAGTGGAGTCCTCACCAGGGACTTGTTCAGAAGGCTGCACACGGCCAGGGGGCGGAGGCCTCGGAGCAGGCACATCGGAACCCTGTTCGGTATGATAACGGGAACAGATGTTGGGTAGTAGGAAGTGGGGAGCGCTGATCGCTGCTGTCGCGCCAGCAGTCAGGAACGCGACACTAGATGAGTCGAGCTCTTCGAGAGCGCCAGTAGCAAAAGCCCAGGCCGAAAACACCACACCAAAGGCGAAGGAGATGTAGAGGATGGGCTGGGTGATGGAAGACTGTGCGTTGCAGATGTAATGGGTGGACGGCTGGACTGGAAAAAGAAAGGTTAGTGTGCAAGAAATCAAAAGCCATGGTTCAAGGGCATCACTTACATTTGCTCCGATCTTTGAACCCACAACGAGCAAGTAGGAAACAGATGAAGGGAATCATGACACAGCAGGCGAGCAGGATGAACATGCCTAGTGAAAAAGTGTAAGTAAAGACATGAACACTGTTTCCATGGAGTTGCTTACCCCCGACAGCGGAGGCACTGGGTTCGAGATCAGCTGGAATGGTGTCGTTGGCGGACATGGTCGATACCTAGATAGGTGCAAATCGTGCAGTTGATATCACGATGTGGTGGTAGGTGCCGTGCATGAGGGCCAAGATGGTGCCTTTTATCCATCTTAGAAGAAGCTTTGTTGAGGCTATCACGGCGTTATTCATTATGGTTCTAAGCCTCATCGATTTGTGACTGTATTATTGAGGCTTGGGTATAAGCTTTAGCTGTGATACGGCTGTCATTTCCGTTGGGTTGCTCAGAAGTCTACCCCCACCGCTTCTTCGAGACCTTGACCGAACAACTCCAAGTTGATAAAAGACACTGCTTTCCTCCGCCGCATACCCAGATAGATCCAGGTATCATGATCTCCCGTGATCCTTCTCCAAGTTCATAAAAGACGCTGTTGTTCCTCCACCATATCCCCAAACTCCAAGTCTAGATACCACAGTCCCCCGTCATCCTTCTCCAAAGGTCATAAAAGACACTTGTTCTTTCCACCGCATTCCCAGACTCCAAATCTAGATACCACAGTCTCCCGTCATCCTGTTCCACGAGTCTGCCCTGAGCAGACTCAGCGGAATCCTCGCCAGACTTATCGGAACCTTGTTCGGTATCCTAGTAGGAACAGATGGGGTGTAGTAGGAAGTGGGGACCGGTATACGCTACCGCAGCACCAGCACGCCGTATTGAAGGTATCGAGCTCGCCGTGGACAAAAGAGTGGATCGAGGAACCGAAGGCCAAGGCAATGACAAAAGTGAGGGGGGTCCCGGTGAGGCAGGACTGTGTCTTGCAGACACGGCGGGGTGATGATGGCGGGCATGGAGTCGTCGGCGGACATGGCCGTGCTTTAGCAACTGGGTTAGACTGGCATCATGAACAACTCGAAAGCTAGGGAGAAATGGAATGACTTACCAGTCGTTGGTGGACAGTGTGTGGGGTGTGCGGACCAGGGTTGATGGCACCGATGGGAGGTGTGTAATGGCCAAAAAGAGAGTTGATGATGATGATGATGGATAATGGATGATGAATGAATGCTGGTGTCAAAAGCTGTCTGATGATGGGGGAGAGAAGAGAAGAGAATAGAAAAGAGAGGGACGGATGGGGGTTTTATGCACTTCATGCTACATCATAAACAACGGAAGCTACTACTGCTTCGTGCCATTCAAGTACGGGGAACAGGGGGAGATGATCGAAGAGATAATCCACCATAGTGATCTCGACCTCGATCGACAGACTAATCAACTAGCATCACTGGCAACACGAGTCAGCGACGACACGGCTAAGCTCATACTTCACAACCCGACCGTCTCTATCACCGAAGGACAGCGCCGTGCTTTCGAGGCCATCTCTGCAGGTACTGGAGAAAATGTGATCTTTATGGCTCCAACAGGATTAGGCAAGACTCTAATCTACATACTACCCGCGTTCCTCGAGCCCACTGGCATCACCATCGTGGTATACCCGCTCAAAGCCCTGCAGCACAACCAAGCCGCTCGGCTACGAGCAGCCGGCATCACCGTGGAAATCTGGAACGACACGATGCGGTAGGTGCCGTTCGGAGATGTCAGAGAACATAGAGTATCACACAGTTTGAGGAAAAAAGGAGACGTCTGCATGATAAACTCTTGACTCATCCTTCCCTAAAGATGAGTAAAAAGTAGAATAAAGATACGAAAAAGAAGTTTAAAGTATTGCGTTAATTCTTGGATATTTTACACAAGTTTTATTCTTATGCTTGAGAGGAGTTAGGTAATCCTCTTGAATGTTCTGGTGTCTCGTATATTGCCAAACTTCGTCAGAGGGTTGAACCGGGTATAGTTCCGACTCGTGGGCGGAAAGGAAACACGTTTACGGCTCAAGTCTGAAGAAAAGAAGCCTACTTATATTTTGCCCAGAGACCCTGGCTATCTGCCTCGTGCGTGAATTCCCATGCTTGGCCGATGCCGGGAGGACAAGAAGCAAACGACGAGGCAGGGACGGAGGCGAGTGAGAGAAGTTCCGAGGGGTCCAGCGGTGACTTGATTGGCTATCTAGCTACCTCATTGTACGCTGAGAGAAGTTCCAATCAAACAGATTCATGATCCCGATTTCCCAAGTAAGCCAACCACTATATCAAAGTCAGTCACTCCCGTAGACATCTCAGGGACGCTTTACCAACTTACTATCAAGGTACTGTGTCTTGCCGAAGGGCATGCTCAGGAGGGAAAGCGTGTTATGGAAGAAGGCCAGACTCGTCGTCTCAAGTCGCACTCGGCGATGTCTCCCCAGCCAAGTCGAGTGATGCAAACTGCAACGACAGATCTTCTCCGAGGCGAAATCGAGCGAGTGCCTCGATAAAGAACTTCCAAGCCTTTGTTCCACGGAACTCACGTACCAGGTCAGGATGCAGCGCCGGGTCGTCCCAACTCAGGTTGCCATCCATCCCAGGCGCACCACATGTGTGAGCCAGGAGAGAATCGACCTCCCCCTCATCCTCTTCCGTCTGATTCATAAATTTGCAGTACCACACCATCTTGGTTACAAGGTCGCTGTGTTCAGCGAAACCTCTGGGATGATGCATCAGGGCCTTTTCGTGGTTAGACCACCACTTGGAGCGTCGCCCTTCGTTTCTCTTGCGATCGCGCCTCGGACGGCCGTCCTCTAGCAAGGCGAGGTACGACTTGTCGATCTTGATGGTGTTCTTGCCGATGGACTTGGGGATTCTTTTGAGGGTGGTTCGGGGGTGAGTGCGAGTTGGGGCGAGGCGGGATGGCTTGTTGGACTTGGCATTGGACAGGTTCAAGTCGGAGAATTGATGGATTGTGGATTCCATCATGGTTTTATCTCGGGAACACTCCATCTTGTCGATTGTGAGTGTGATGAGGATGATTGTGATTGTGAATGATCAAGCAAGTTGGTTGGAGGTGTGGTTGTGGTGATGTTGAGATGAAAGACGAGCAAGAAGAAGAGGATTGTTTTTTACCATCGAATATATCACCCAAAAGGGAAATATAAATATTCACCTCATATTAGGAAATATATCAAAATGAAGCAAAAACGAACAAGAGTGATTTACCCACCCTGTTGGATAAACACATCCCAAAGAGGTAATATAACTTTTTTTTTCTTGCCGCCAGGCAACAAGTCACCAATACAAGTGCTACATTGCTCTCATTTGGAGCACATTGTCTTGACTGAAATACGCAGGCCGATGAGTTTTTGTTTATAGTTGCAAAAAGAACAGACAGGTAGTGTTTCCAGTTCCCATGAGCCAGCGTCAGCCTCTGCTCCCCAGTATTAGTGTTCATGAATAGAGACAAATAACAGTGATGCAATGTCATTATCTATCCAAGTCATATAAACCAACTATCTCTTCTATGGGCGTAGCTTGATATGTGAGAGTATGTCCCTGAAATAAGTATAATTAGCTTATGCCCCTTGCCGTGACCCTTAAGGGCTCATGATAGCTCATGGGATACACAACAGTCTTGCCATCTCTTCACACCAATGTAATCAACAAAGATCAACAATTAATCACTGATAGAGATGATGGAACATGCAAATGGTAGCCTATTACACGTCGAGGCAGATTACAACAAGACCCCCCCTTTGCTACCCGCCTCTATCTCTCAAGGCTATATAAATTCCTCCCCAATGCCGAAAAATCTAGAAAAAGACCAACGCCAAGATAAAAAAGAAAGGCCCCTTTCATTTTTGCTGTACATGCTTTTTTAGTCTTTTCACCTTCGCTTGCCAAAACCTCCCGCCGTCTTCTGAACCTTGGACGGCGGTGCGGCTGCGGCTTCGGCGTCGCTCTCCTCATCTTCACCCATTGACTCGTCCACATCATCATGGTTGACCTCGTCCTCGTCAAGAGACTCCTCGGCATCGCTATCGCCCTCCTCGCCAGCAGATTCCTCCTCTTCATCGTCAGAGTCGCCGATGAAACCATTAGTCACGGGGACGTCAAGGTCATCATCAGAGTCGTCAAACTCCCCATCAAGACCACGCCGCCGGCCAGGAGTGCGAGCAGCATCATCTTCACCCTCAACCCAGATAACGTCCTCATCATCAGAATCAGAGTCAGAGTCACCACCGGTGTGAAGGCCGGCGGATCGGGACATCTTGCGGCGCAGATCCATCTGACCCTCAAGCATGTCGAGCTTGCCCTTGAGGGCGAGAAGGCTAGAGAGACCCTTTGCGCGCTCAGCCAGTACCTTTTGCAGACCGGCCAGGCTGTGAATGGTCTTGGGCTGCGAGGCCAGGGCACCACCGTGTGCGACGAGGGTCCACTGAACCCATGTCATCAGGTTGCCGGCGCGGCCAGGACGGCGGTGCAGGCGGGAAGCCAGCTTGCCAAGGAGAATACCAGCGAGGGAGCTGTCGAGTCGCTCGATGGTGTTGCGGATGGTGCTAAGGTCGGTAGTGTGCAGGCAGGACTCGAGGAGGTCGGTGTCGTCGGTGCGGAGAGCCTGCGAAAGGACAGTGGTGAGGGACTGGTGAGAAGGTACGGGAAGAGCGCTGCGTGTGGACTGCTGGGTGACAGCACCGCCCGAGGGGTTCAGCAGTGAGGGAACATCGATGATCTCGTTTTCGGCACGGAGGAGCTCGCCAAATGAAGGCGATGTAGGCTCGGCATCAGAATCTGCGATCTCCTCTTCGCCATTGGACTTTTGCTTGGCAGATTTTAGGCGCGCGGTCAAGTCCTTGGTGGTCTGCTGCTGTTCCTCCTCCTCCTCCTCCTCCTGCTGCTGGGGAACATCGGCATCCGAGAGGTCTTCGTCGCTGTCGGCGTCGGAGGAGATCTCAATCGTCTCGACTTGGGAGCTCTGGAGGGCTTCGGGGCCGGCGATGGAGGCCTTTGACTCATCGATGGCGACCTTGTTGGGGACTCGGGCGCTGGATCGCACGACGGGAGCGGCCACCTTGGCCGAAGCTTTGCGCCTCGTAGACATGGCGATGCGAGAGGTTGTTGAAGCGTCGCAGAAGTGTATCAAGTCGCGTGCAGGGATTGTCGATGTTCAATGACAACTGGCCAGTCAAAGAATCTCTTTTCTTCAAGTATGTGAATACTCGACGACTTCTCCTTCTCGTAAAGTATCAATCGGTCGCAAACAAATTGTCGTGATACCTTCAGCGTTATCAGCGCCGAGTAGTTGCAAAATTTCACGAGGCCCGTCACTAGATCCAAGCGTGTGAACTTTTTTTTTGGTCTCGAGCCTTGGCGACTTGATGCCCCACACCGCACAAATTCTGTATGACATAAGCCAAAGATAAGAGTGTCATCAAAGGTCACCTGATGATAAGAAAGCAGGTGTGTCTCATGCACACCATGACTCATCCAACAGTCGCACAGAGGGCGACATTCGGCCGGGAAAGGCTGCTGGCAGCCTTCGGCAACCGGGCGACCATGGTTGCGCGCTCACCGCATCTGATTGGCAGGAGAGCCCAATGTGGCCTCGCCTTGCAGCTGGAAGAGGCCATTTAATAACAGTGATTGGCTTCGCCGCAAGCTCTAAATGAGATGGGCCGCCATTGGAGGACTTGGAACCCAAGTGGACACCTGTCCTCATGGTGATTGGTTGCATCGACCACATTTTACATTGCTGGTGCCGTCGAAGAGGGACCACGACGCAATCTGTGGACTGGCTATCCTCAGGGGGGGCAGGAAGAGAAAGCCACCTCTTGTTCTCAAACAAACAATGTTCCCGAGAAGCTGGACAGTTGGGTGGTATCACGAGTAGACGAGAAACCCGAAAGTGTGTGTGTGCATGTGTGCGTGTGTGTGTGTGATTGCAAAGCCCTCGTTTGCTGGAGATGGGTGTGCACACCTAGTCACCTGACTTCTCCCCTGCCTTGGCCACTCGAGATGAGGTGGATCCGTTGTCGGGCTCGGGCGCCGGTCCATGATGCGTCGGCTCGGCCTCGTTAGATGGTTAGACACCGTCATGAGGGTATACGCGTTAGTTAACATGCCAGCCTTTTTCATGGCATCGCACGCGTCGCGACGCGCTGGGTGACTTGGGTGCGACGCCAAAGTTAAATGGGTTGCCTGCGCTGGGTTCATCAACCACGTCAAGTTCATGACTTTTTCTCCTTTTAAATTTCTCTTTTATCATGCAAAAGAGTATCCTTGCTCTCGTCTGTCCACCTTTCAACACGTACAGAGTCTTCTCCGTGCTGATGTGTCTCGTGCCTGGACGGGAGACGGATAAGTCTTGTTGTAAGACGACGGACTCGGGAAACGGAGGGCGTTTGAGGGCCGTGAAATGCGACTCCCGTGGTTGACCTTCCGAGGCCCAATCACAAGAGGGGACTCCCCTCAGCCACATGGCGCTGTAAGCCGCTGTGAGGCAGCAATTAAACGGTTCGACAGCAGAGGGGAATATCATCTTATCTAGCAAAAAAAGACAAGTTAATATGCATTTTCAACCTCAGACAGGAACAAGTGCATTTGCATCATCCTCATATCCCATCTCCCATCTCCCATCCTCGCGTTGCCATGCACCCTTGTCACCCCTTGCTGGTTCAAGCCACTATTCACCCCAGCCACCAGTCCCAACCCGGTGCAACAAGAGCAAGCGCAACAGACAGAGACAGAGAGAGAGAGCCTGGTCCGTGCGTCCACTTTTTTTTTCTCTTCCAGTCCCATTCCCCTTTCAACTACAAAAAGCTCGGCCAACTAAATTTTTCCCTCTCTTCCTCTCCTCCTACCCCCCCTGGTCATTTTTGCGCCCCGGTAGAAACAAGTCAAACGGCTCAGCGGAGTTTGCCTTCGTCTCTCATAAATACCACCGCGCCTCCGACCGGGCAAAATTCACTGACGTGCACGCGCTTTTCCCTCCAGGCCCTATATTCAACCCCCCCCTCCCCCCTCCCCTCCACCCTCCCGGGCCTGCTAGGAAGCAGCAAGAAAAAAAAAAAAACGAGGTTCAAGAGGAGGTACCTTCCCGGCAATCAAGACCGTCGCCGCATCCTGCGCCTAAAAGTCTAGCCACTCACAGAAGCCCTCTGGTGTTCCATCTTGGCAACCCAGCGCCGCAACCACTTACCACCTTCTTCTTTGCGGCGAAGCACAAAAAGCACCTTCCGCGCCCGATCACGATAAGAGCTCCCCTCAAGTTCTTATTGTTCTCGAAGCCCTTCATCATCTCGACGTCGACTTCCACGTCCACGTCCAGCAACGCCTTGCCTTCCCAAACTCACTCCAGATAATCAATAATAAGTTTACGATCACGGGGCACGGCTTGTTTTGTTTTGTTCCTTGCATCGCTTAAACTGTTTTTTCTCTTTGATTATTTTTTTTATCCACTTCTTCCTCTTTTCTTCTTCTCTTCTTGTTCATACTCTTCCCGCCTGCGCCTGCACCAACGCCAACGCCAACGCCAACACTCCCCGCCATTACAGTACAAGCCCAAGCTTGCCTTTGGTCGTCGGCGTCATTTGCCCCAACTCTCTCCTCTTTTCTTCCTGACCTACCTCAATCGCGTTGTCACCTGCGCGTATCCGGAGTTACCATCTCGGCTTTGGAATCTCATTCCGTCGCCATCTACGTTGCGCTACCTCTCGCCTCTGCGCCACACAATTCGAGACCGCGCATATAAAACAGCGCCCCCCGCCTTCACACTTTCTCGGTCGCGCGACGCGCCTCCATTCCCAAGGCTCCACACCTACCAACTCCATCGCGCGCATCGCATCGCATCGCATTTGTCGCATCGCACATCGCACATCCATCGCTTCGCCAACTGCATCCGCCTCAAGCGCATCGGTCTTTGACCTCTTCATGTCGCGACGATTTGACTGAGCTTCTCCTATTTTGACGCGCTCACCGCGAACGGCCAGTATGGCTTCGCCGACGCC